AGTGCCGACTGTGCCTGCATTTCTGACCCCCTCCTCCATTCATACAAGCTGTGCTATAGCTTTCATCAACAAAAAGCAATATACGAATTTAGGAGGTGGACCTTTCAGTCATCTGCCCATCCTTCATTTCTAAAGTGCTTTTCATTCATGGAAGCTATAGTACAGTTTCTATGAATGGAGGAGAGCGGCTGAAAGGAGGGCATAGTAAGCACTCTTGATGAGTGCCTGTCAAAGGTCCAGAGCTGATATTAACCCCTGCAGCACCAGAAGATGGGGGTGTTGGAGGACTACAGATTTCAAATATGACATCCAGCAGCTGCGCAAGGGACACTTCACATTAAACATCCCTTGTGCTGATTAAAACAAAATACCTAAACTTAAGCATTAAGTGGAATTTGCTAAAAAAATCCATTATTTACATACACTGCTCAAAAAAATAAAGAAACATTTTGAAAATACATCAGATCTCAATGGGGAGCGTGGGGGCCATTCAATGGTATCAACTCCTTCATCCTCCAGGAACTGCCTGCATACTCTCGCCACATGAGGCTGGGCATTGTCGTGCACCTAGAGGAACCCAGGACCCACTGCACCAGCCTGGGGGTCTGACAATGGGTCCAAGAATTTCATCCCGATACTTAATGGCAGTCAGGGTGCCATTATCCATTCTCTATGCTTGCTATACAACCATACATGCAAACCTATCAAATATAATAAAGAAGGGCCAGATAAAGGCAAGCAAAGGGCCACATCCGACCCCCAGGCTGCCGTTTGGAGACCACTGTTCTATATTTTAAAAGTATATGGGTAAATTCTGCATCCAAATGGTGCATGATGATGGACTGATATGTTACTGCCTACAATAAAATAATACAAAGAAAAAAGAATTGCCCACCTACGTATAACCATAAGCTCAAGGTAGTAGAGAGCCAAGTGAAGTTTATATCAGTTTAAAGTGGAACTAATGTCAAAACATTTTTTTTAAATAGAGTAAGGAAGGATTCTACCTGTGTCAGGTTTTTTTGCCATCTGTGTCCCATTGGGGAGATTTCAATTCCCTTCCTACCCCATAGCCATGACAAGAAGTGAGAGGAAACCTCTCCAAAGTGGGGGAAATCACTGATAGTCACAATAAAAATGATATTTCATCTTTTTGTAGCACCCTCTAGTCAGGTGCTAGGATTTGTATAGTTAGAATAGTATAGCTGTGTTCCTCTGCTTACTGGAGAGGCTGTCAGGTAAATTCAGTGTGGTATTCTGCCTAACAGAGTGATGTGATTGTTTAGTCAGGTCTGCTCATGATGCTTTGGTGTTGTTTGAGTTTGTCTGAGTTCCACCTGCTTTCAGGAAGCTATGAGAGCCTTCCAGAACATAGGTAGGGGCTAGGCAAATGAACAGCATGAATATGGATACAGCCCCAGCCAATTGCAGGGGAGGGTGACCCCAATGCATGCTGGGAGTGGTATTTATGTTCTGGGAGTACATGGACTCTGGGTCTTTCCCTGGAGTGGATTGTACTAGGCCAGGATGGAGGCAGGCTGCCTCGCCTGACACTTGCTGCCATGCGGCCTCAGGTGGATCGACCTGAAGGCCTGAAGTTAGAGAGAGTGACCCTGGTCCTACAGTACGCTGACTGAGGAGAGCTGTCTGCCAAATATCTGTCTATTATCACCAGAGAGAGAGTCACTTGGAAGATTGGAAGGAGACAACCATTCTGTCCTTGGACTTGTGAGTACAGACACAGAGATCTTGGGGACTCTGTGTGCTTTGCTACCCCTCTGGTGCTTGATAGTCAGTGTGGGTCTGAGAAGAGGGAACACTGGCTAGTGTTCTGAAGAGCTTGTCCAACAGGTGCTACTGCAAAGGACTTTGCTCATTTCTATCACTCCTAGACTGCTGCAGTCTATGGTAATAGGCCTGTACCTGAGGATCTTAGTCCTGCAACTACTACTACTGCAAAACGGACTTAGCTCACTCCTGAAACTATTTGTTGCTACACTTTAAAGAGAAGTCTGCTATCTGCTTTTAGTCAGGACTTCAGTAGTGCTCAACTAAGAGATCAGCTAGATGTCCTCAGTGTGAATAGTTCTAAGTTTGGAGTATCCTACTGTGTCCCCTATCCCCAGTTCTACAATAAAACAAAAAAAAACAAGCATCCCCTAGACTGGTCATTGAAGACATCGAGCGAAAGTGTGTGTATTTGGCTGAAGAAATACATTGTGCTTGGTTGCGGGGCGAAGTAAGGGGAAACCGGAGGAAAAAGTGGCCCTTATGAGGGTAGCGCTACTTTTTATTTCTGCTCCAACAAATATTTAAACCAACAAATTCCTGGCTCTTTTACTATCAGAATCTAAATTAAGTTAGAAGAGCTTTAGATTGCAAGGTTATATGCACATGGAATTTCCTGTTTATTGTGAGTGGTTGAAGTCAGTCTAGAGACTGTAATCAGCTACATGTATGAATGTGGAAATGCTTTACGGAAGTACATTGTGTGTTGTGCCTGATAAGTTATGTCTATAACACAGTCACAGCGCATACTGTGTTGCCACTCAAAAGCAATAAACACAAATACATTTAAATACTATTTGCATGATAGAACTATTATTTTGTTTTTTGTCTGAAGCTGTTTCAAAAGCCTTAAAAAGTAACTCCGACGACTTTAAACATAATCAAGATTGATTATCTCTGAAAACTGGCCTCTCATCAATAGAGATCTCAAGAGATAAAAGACAGATTCAGGCGGTATAACTGAGACAGAAATGATAGGAAATCCAAAATTTTACAATTGTCAACAAAACAAGTGGTGGGGTCACCTGTTCCAGTGACAACTGTTTAGGAGGCGAATTCCCCACACTTTGTAGAGATTTCCTCTCACTTCCTGTTGCATCTTTGAGATAGGATGTGAAATGAAATCTCCCCAATGGAATACGGAGAGCAAAAATTAAAAAGTCAAGGATTTTAACCTTGTGACTAGATGCTCACCTCTCCACTGTCTTTCAAAAACTGAATAATTGGTTTTCCTCCCTGCCTACTGAGCCCACTTTTAGCACAATGTCACCACTGGAGCAGAACTGTTGGAATACAATATTTTTGTATTTTGTGCAACAACTAACTCAGTATTCAGTAGAGATATATTCCTCAACCAGTAGATAGTAGTGTTTATAAGTTTGCAGCTCCATCTATGATATACTCAATCTCTTTTCTCTAAATAAAGTTTCCCATTTTCCTTGTTGCAGTGAAGCAGTAAAGCACAAGTGGACTGTGCTCTGTTTGTTCTGTAGAATTATATACGGAATTTCTAACAGGTTATGGGACTAGTCATAGCAGGCTACAGAAAATAAGTGCAAGATACAGAAACAGAAGTAAGACTGCAACAGAAAAAATAAATGGTAAGTAAAACAGCTGCAGAAAGTCTTTCATTTGCAAATCTGACAAACCAAAACTACCAGTCCTGGAAATTCAAGATAAAAATGCTGCTAATAAGAGAAGGTATGTGGAAATGTATAAATGAAGTCAGGCCAGAACACTTCAGATGAGTGGATAGAGAAAGATCAGAAAGTTCAGAGCTAAATCTCTCTTAGCATAGAAGATGATGACATCATACATATATGTAAGTGTGAAACTGCTAAAGAAATGTAGGAAGGATTACCAAAAATGCATGAAAGAGTTATTCTCAACAATCAACTGTATTTGACTAGAAGGCTAAATCAAACCAAGCTAATTAAAGGCCAAGATATGCAGGATTACACAATGCGCACCTTGAAAATGGTTGGAAGTCTGAGAGGTATAGGAGAAGAAACAAAAGATTTTCATGTAGCAGAACTATTACTTAGTGATTTACCGGAAAGCTATGAAATGCTTGTCACAGCACTTGATGCACATCCAGATGATGAACTGACATTGGAAAATGTTGAGGTCAGCTTGTCAAGCTTGTGGATGAATATAAGCTTAAAAGAGAAAGCATTAACAGTGACGGTGCTTCTGTCTCACTATTGTATGTATCAGTACATGTATCAGTATATGTGACAAATGACAGAAATTTCTTTATTCACCTTGACCAGAATACAACAGAAAAAATCATCACAAGTAATGGGCAAATAATGGAATCAGAAGGAATAGGAGACAGTTTTCTTTACTGTCCTATTTCCCAGGGTGTCATCAGGAAGATACCTGTGAGAAATGTCCTGTATGTTCCTGCTCTTGAAACTAATCTTTCGTCAGTGAAGAAGCTCACAAAACAAGGCAATGCAGTGACCTTCCAAGGTGACAGTTGTGCCATCACAAAAGGGGATATCTAACTTGCAACGGCTAAAATTACAGATGCACTGTATCAGCTGAACTGCAATGAGGTGGTTAATATTGCCAATGAAATGTGCTGGCGTGGACCCTTTGGTTCTTGAGTAATTTTTACAATAAAGCATTGTTTCCAAAATACCAGGGGCATGAGATATTCTGCTGAGAGCAAGATAAAAACTTGTTTATGGAAATTGAACGTGTTTATGACATCTAGTATGTCACATTAGAAGCTAACAACCTTTTTAACCACTCGCCTACAGGGCACTTTTACCCCCTTCCTGTCCAGGCCAATTTTCAGCTTTCAGCGCTGTCACACTTTGAATGACAATTGTGCGGTCATACAACATGACATTTTTATAATTTTTTTGAGACAGATAGGGCTTTCTTTTGGTGGTATTTAACCACCTCTGGGTTTTTTATTTTTTGCTAAACAAACCAAAAACCACTGAAAAGTTAGGAAAAAAAAAGTTTTTTTTTTAGTTTTTGTTACAAAATTTTGTAAATAAGTGATTTTTCTTCTTCACTGATGTGCGCTAATGAGGCTGCAGTGATGGGCACTGATAGGCTGCACTGATGGACACTGATAGGTGGCACTGCTGGGCACTGATGAGGAGGCACTGGTAGGTGGCACTGATGGGCATTGACAGGCATCACTGATGGGCACTGAAAGGCAGCACTCATATATGGCACTGATAGGTGGCACTGATAGGCAGCACTGATTGGCAGCACTGATAGGTGGCACTGATTGGCATTGATAGGTGGCAATGACTGCCACTGATAGGTGACACTGAAAGGCAGCTCAGATGGGCACTGATATGTGGCATTGATGGGCACTGGTAGGCACTGATATGTGGCATTAATGTGGCACTGATGGGCACTGGCAAATGGCACTGATGGACACTGACAAGTGGCACTTCTGGGGCTACACTGATCATCAGTGCCCTGATGATCAGTGTAGATGCCCCCTCTGAGGAATGCCGATTACCGGCTCTCCTCTCCTCTCGAGCTGTCAGCATGACAGCTCGTGAGGAGAGAAATGCCAATAACCGGCATTTCCCTATTTACATGCGATCAGCTGTGATTGGACACAGCTGATCACATGACTGAGCCGACATCTTCGGCTCTTTCCATTGATCAGTGATCCGCTGTGTCTGAGGGACACAGCGCACCGCCGATCACTGTGCTGTGCACTCCCGGAGCCGCGTATGCACGGTTAGAATGAGAGGACGTCATATGACATCCAGAACGAGAGAACTGCCTTGCGCCCTTCATTACCTTGTATGGCGGGTGGGAGGCGGTTAAAGATGTCTACTTGCTTGAGAAATTAGAAATCCTTAAGTTTGGGGTAGATGAGTAGAAGTTTAGTGTAGACAAGAAGCAAAAGTGTGACTTTTCAGATAACGAATACGGTGGTTGAACGTAACTCTGTTATCCTCGCGGAACCTTTCTGCTAGCTCCTCGCTCACTATTGGACAGCTTCCAGAAAGTTGGTTTAAAAGGCGGAGGTCCAGGCAAGAGCAGGAGGAAAAGCCCCACGTAGTGGCCAGAGGACACTCTCACGCTGGAATTTTTGCCAAGGCTATATGGGCTCATCAACTGGTCATGCCTACGGCTTCCCCCTGACCTCCTGGGCAGTATGGTTCCGATGGGATTCCTTCCAGCTTCTAACATAGCTTTGGCAATATATTAATTCTATGCTGTGACGCTGTAAAATGGTGTGTCTATTTCATGCTGTAATGCTCACATTATTATTGGTGTGTGATATTATGCAGATTGTGGTGACTAAAAGATATATCCTCCTGTGTGTCGTGTGATAATAAAAGTGGAGGTTTTAACAGTGCAAAAATATTGCAGCAGGATTCTGTTATTTCTTGGAGTGCCGGGTGAATGCTATGATGTGCCAGGACAGGTATTCATTTGGTAGATGGTTTTTCACATGCGTAGAATATGTAATGGTTCAAATGCTGGTTAAAAGGTACCTGCATGACTACATGTTGATTGTGTGCGTGTATATGACTTGCTTTTAGTTATTGCACCCAGCATTTTTATTACAACACATGACACAGATGACTTGGGCAGAAATGACCTGACATAATAAAGATATCAACTAAGAATAACTATGCAAGTGGAATAAAAAGTAGTCCATGGATCAAAAAATGAAATGCACCAGCTGTATAAAAGTTAAAATGACCAGAAAAGTCTTTCCAAAGCAGAGTAACAACATCGCTGAAAAAACATCTGGACTTAATTCATTTAGATCTTTGCAGCCCAATGGAAAAAATAACTCCAGGAAAGAAGAGGCATTTTCTCACTTTTATAGATGATTACTCCAGGTATACCACACTATATGTTATACAACAAAAGTGAAGTACCAGAGAAACTTGAACAGTATTTGGCTCAAGTAAGAAACACATTTAGCAAAATGTCAAGCGTATTCTGCACAGACAATGGAACTGAATATGCAGATGATAATAAACAGGCAATTCTCAGAAAGCATTGCATAATATTTCAATCTACTGTGCCATACAACCCAAAATGGGGCTGCCAAAAGAATGAACTGTACTCTATGTGAGAGAGGAAGAACCATGTTGTTTGATGCAGATATGCCAACCACATACAAGGGAGAGGCAATTATGATAGCATGCTATCTCCAAAATCGACTACCAGGAAAATCAACTGAGAAAACTCCATACAAACTGTGGAATAGAAAAGCTCTGAATCTGAACCATCTTAACATTTTTAGAAGTAAAGTCTATGTGCACATCCCAAAAGAAAAACATACAAAATTGGATGCTCTTGCAGAGGAAGGTGTACTTTTGGGGTACAGTGAATCTTAAAAGGGATACAGAACTCTACACCAAGACATAAATAAGGTAAACATCAGTATATGAGTAATTGTTGATCAAACTCCAGTGTGTTCAAAATGTCATGAACTAACACAAATGCTTCAAAATGAGGGAAATTCCACATCGATGTCACATGAAGATAAGCAACAAAGTGACACAGAAATAGAAATTAATGCAGAATATAGAAATGCCGTAAAAAAAGAAACCAGACCACAAGAGGCTTCAATCAGGAAATCTACCAGAAGAAATAGAGGCATCCCTGACAAACATCTGTCCTATGTTGCTTGCATAGTATTAAAACCAGAGTCAGATCCATAGGATGAGATGCAAAGACTTCCAATCCATAAGAAACAAAAGTGGGTCAGAGCTTCTAGAAATGGGACTAATATAAGGAGAAGTTTTGTTGAGAGGGGGTGTTGGAATACAGTGTTCATGTATTTTGTGCGACAACTACATCAGTACATCAGTATTCAGTAGAGATATATTCTTCATGCAGTAGATGGCAGTGTTTATAAAGTTTGTAGCTGCATCTATGGTATACTCAATGTCTTTTCTCTGAATAAAGTTTCCTGCTTCCCTTGTTGCAGTGAAGCAGAAAAGCACATGTGGACTGTGCACTGTTTGTTCTGTAGGGCTACAGTATATATAGAATTCTAACAAAAACTATACACCACCACCACATACAAGGGAAAGAACTGTTCCTACATGTGCACTGGAACCAGAGCCATATTAGACACTACAGGGGTTGATTACTAAAGGCAAACAGGCTGTTTACTTTGCAAGGGAATTTCCTCATAGCTTAGTGAATGTGGTGGAAATTCAATCATGTGCAAGGAAAATAAAAAATATATATTTTAGCTTGCACATGATTGGGTGACGGAAGTCACCAGAGTGTCACCTCATTCTCTAAATGATAACATTCCCTTGCAAAGTGAAAACTCCTTTACAAAGTGAACAGCCTATTTGCCTTTAGTAAATCAACATCCAAGCCTATATACAATAGGATGCTCTAAGAACAAATGAATGATGCCCTTTCACACAGCAGCTCCTGGTATTAAAAAATGTTGGGTCACATAGACAATTTTTGTTACAGTGACCATGCTACTGCCAATGTCATCCATCAATAACTGCTAGCTGCATGTAGTAGTGATCAATTGCAAAAATTTGGAGCATTGTCCAGTCATTAGCATTGAATCCCTACTACATGCTACACTCCATTTTTCCTATGTATCAATCAATAAATGCTAGCAGCTTACCATTGGGTGATTACAGGGGATTAAACCAAATGATCACCTGTGTGCATGCTCCCTCCTTCTAGAAGGCACCATAGGAGGCAGCGGCAGCCTGCTTTATATGTAGAGCTGCTTTTCTTCTGTATTGACCACTAAAGAGAGAAGGGAGAAATGGCGTGACGCTTCCCAAATTATGAAAAGTTTTCAGACTCCTCAACATCCTTGGCATCACCTTCACCCTACAGTTCCCTTGCTGAAATTAGTCACAAATATACATGATTGTGATCTATACATGATGTGATCATATGTATGATGTGATCAGAAGAGGGAAAAAATATAAGGAAAACAATAATGAAAACTTGTCAAAGTTGAATCCTAGGCTAAGTTTAGATGTGCGGCTAAAATGTTGTAGCTTTAAAAATCATTCTGCATTTGGATCACTTATCAGAGGAGTTTACCAAGCAGTGAGGAGGCGATAGGATGCCAATTCACTGGAATGGGTTGCGTTCATATTGCTGAAAGTGTCAGGGGGGAATAATAATTCCTGCAGGTGCAAAGCCTCTCAACCGTGGCACATGAACATCTCTATGTAGCAGAAATATATATCTGTCCCCTGCGCTCAAGAGTGGTGTACAAAGATGCAACTGTGACACATCCTCCATATATCAAATATATCAGCACTGGCTGTCAGGAAAGGCCTGACCATAGTGCAGGCGAAGATCCGCGGCGCAAGAATGTGCGCAGAGTTCTTACGAGCCGGGCAGATGTGCAGGTGCTTGGGCATAGGCGCGCACATGTGTGCATGCGCATGCGCACTCGTGCATCCAGGCGCGCCTGTCACTAATGCTAGTGCCAAAAGGGCTATTTAGACTGGCTGCAGTAAATGTCTCATTGCTGTTTGGTCTTATCCCTACTTGTGTTCCCTGATTCCTGTGATTGACTCCTGATACCGAACCAGCTTGTCCCTGATCTCCGCTTGTCTGCTTCCTGCCCTGACCTCTGGCTTGTCTTGGACCCTTCTGTCTCTGCTCCTGTCTGATTGATCTTCCGCTGGTGACCTGGCCTGTGACCCAACTACTCTTCCTCCTGCTGCTTAAGCCTGATCTGCCTGACCAATACCGAACCCGGCTCGTCTGACCCTGCATCTTCAAAACGCACCTTTCAGTGATCCATCCAGCACGGCTGCATCGGGATCCTGCTCTCTGCCTCCAGCCTGCCCTGCAGCTCACCTGCTTGCCAGCTACTACGTGACTGATCACAGGCACTCATATCCCACTATGCCCCTGTGGCCGCTGTCTCACCATCATCGGTCCTTGAGCTGGAGTTGTACAGGACGCCTGCCTCTTCACATCAGGCTCACTATCTAGGTACGTGACAATGGCCTTGCTGCCCTCTAAGGGTTGGAGGAAACCCGCAGAAACCAACTGCAAAAAGAAAGGAAAACAGGGAGTGCACCAGCCTTGTGCATTATCTAGGGTGGTGGCTTTATTGATCCAAAAGAAAATATACTCACAAACATTGTAGAAACAAAAGCGTGTCAAATGCAAAGCGACCAGTACACAGGATCTGCTCCCAGATTCATGAGGACCCTCTTAGAACTGACACGTTTCGAGGAGCGGTCTCCTCTTCCTCAGAGCCGGCTTTGACACGCTATGTTTCTACAATGTGTGTGAGTATATTTTGTTTTGGATCAATAAAGCTATCACCTGGATAATGCACAAGGCTGGTGCACCCCCTGTTTTCCTTTGTTTTTACATAAACACCTCGCTCTGCTGCCTTTGCAGCTTAAAGGGGGTGGTTGGGGAAGGTAAAAATGTGGCTCAGCCAACCTTGTCACTGGCACAACATGACTAATCCACCTTGTTATGACATAAGAATGGTCCAAGCCCATAGGAACTATTGTATTGTCCTGTTTCACCAAAAGGATTCCTACTTCCTCCATTAGTTTTCAGTCCCTCCACAGTGATACCCAATTCTTCCATTAATTCTTAATTTGACTTCAAAAGCAATTAGTTTCCAATCTCCTGT